TAATTGTGGCTTTTTGATATATTGTTATATTTTTGTATTACATCATATTGATATAAGTTTTAAGATTAAATTTGAAAACAGGTGATTAATATAAATTCTAAAACTTCAACTTGAACTACTTTAACCTTTGATCTGATACAAAATTTTTTCTGATATTTCGACATCAGCTTTTATAATTAGATAAATTTAAACTTTTAGAATTTCGTATAAGAGTACTTAAAACTACAAAAAATCTATCTTCTAATAATAAAAATAACTTAACAATTTTGGATGATCTATATGATTTTTTTATATTACAAGATAGTAACAACAAACCTCAAGATAATTCAAGTAAATTTCAAAGTTTGGAATGTGAAAATTTGAACTTTAGTCATATTGACAAAAACTTTGAAGAGTCTAATTATAATAATTTAAGCTAGGATAATATACAACATAATAATATATTTTATGATACTAATTCAGAAAGTGAAAATAAAATATTTTATAGAAATATTAATAATTCAGCAGAGGTATTTGATAATATAAATTTCAATTTAACTTGGAATCAAGAAAATCAATTTGGTGTCTTCAATAACTTTACAACTAAAACTATGTTTTTGTAAGTTATAAAATATATGATATGTAAATATTTCAATTTTAGTAAATTTTAACTATGTAAAACTTAATTTTAATTTTAATTTTTTCATTTTTAGTAACAGCTACTTATCAAAACTTGATTTAAATTTTACTTCACCCTCTATTTGATAAAAATTATTTAGTTACAAATTTATAAAAACTTAAAAAATTTTATGAAAAATTACTCTTAATGCAAATATGAAGTCATATAGTCTCAATTAATACTCAAAATACACTATCTACAGCAAAAAAATCTACGAATATTTATTATTTTTTATTAATAGAGTATTTTCAAATCTGTTCTTAGCAAACTCACCAAAAAATCCTTACCTAAAAGAGATACCTCAAACAATCTTGATTGTTTCAAAACTTTTCCTATAACCGAA